CCTTTGGTGTCGACCCTGGAGGAGCTGGTTCAGCTGAAGAAAGTCATCGAGGCAACGGCCCAGCAGGTTCAGAAGGAGCAGGGTGTGATTTTCACTTACCGAGTGGGGACCATGGTGGAGCTACCCCGAGCTGCACTGCAAGCAGGCCGCCTCGCAGAGCAAGCGGAGTTCTTTAGCTTTGGCACCAACGATCTGACCCAGACTACGTATGGCCTGAGCCGGGATGATGCAGGGGCCTTCCTGCCTGAGTACAAGGCAAAGGGTATCGTCGAGCAGGATCCCTTTGTGAGCCTGGATCAGGAGGGTGTTGGCGAGCTGATCCAGATCGCAGTGGAGCGTGGTCGCCGCAGCCGTTCGGGCATGAAGATGGGCATCTGCGGAGAGCATGGAGGCGATCCAGCTTCGATCGAGTTCTGCGAAAAGACAGGGTTGGACTACGTCTCTTGCTCGCCCTTCCGCGTTCCAATTGCCCGCCTGGCTGCGGCCCAAGCGGCATTGAAATCCCAGGGCGAGAAGGCTCTCCAGGCCTCCACGAAGGCAGCCTGCCCCAGGCAGCAACGCTTCGGCCCGTGGTGAGTTCGACTCGGTGCCATGAGATCTCAAACCTGGGGACTCCGGTACATCTTTTATGCGCAGGTTACCAGTAAATGCCTGGTACCCTCATCTCAAGATTGTTTTCAGCGAATCGCGAATGCACTGCATCGACACACAGCTGCAGCATGCGCGGATTTTGGTGCTCGTCAGTTTTGATTGCAGGGCACAGATACTGCAAGGTAGCTGACGTCCAAGTACAGTCTAGTCGTTGGAGCTTTCACAAATCCAACGTAGGAGTAGCATTGGGTCATTCTCCAAAAGACAGCAAGGGGCCTCAAGCAACAGCATGTGGGAAGTCCTTGTGTATGAGCCCCTCCTATTTTTGGAAATTTCCCTTTCTGTCATGGCCATGGAGGCTGCCTGTTTCAATAGGCTTTAAAGCAGTGTGGCAGCAGCTTGGCGTTCAAGTGTTTAAGATCACGCGCTCGCCATCGGCAGGATGCCAAAAAAAAGAGCTCGTGCCAGGCTGCTCTCAATGCCTCCTAGGTTGCTATGCTGAGGACTTTATTTCAGCTACTGGACGATGACCTTTGGGATGCCCCAAAACCATACAAAGACATCCTGACTAGGGGCACTGGCATACAGTCCACAAGTTTCCGCTCTCAGGAGCTTGGCCGGGCACATGCAGCGCATTCGTTAATTCTGACTGTTGCAGTCTGTCTTATTCAGTGCATGAGAATTTGCCCTGGTTGGTGGATTGTTCATATTCATCGCATGGGAATTTGCTCAGTGATGAGACTGCCGTGGTGCCGTACTGAATTCTGGTATATAGCATGGCATTGATATTCATTCATGCAGGCTTATGCCCACTGCATGACACCTCTGCTGCATGAAACAAGCTAATGCCAACAGAATTTGTGACTGTGCGCTGCAAGTGGTACATTCATTGCATGTGGTCCCAAGCCCGTGTATTCCTTACTCCTGAGGCTTGAAAACATGGCAGGTGCCAGAATTATCGGGTGCAATTTCCTACCTTGCAGGACAATGAGATCCCTTGTGACAAGTCAACCTAACCTAGTATATTTTGAAACAGAGGAGCAACGCCTCCGATCGACCAGAGTAACAAGGACTTAGATCATGGCGCTCGTTACTGTTCTTCATTGTCTTTACTTTAGGTTGCTCCTTGTTGTGGCTTACATCCACTTCTGAGCACTAGGGCTAAGTCGTCTCAGCGGGGATCGAACTATGTGCAGCCTTGCCTGCCGAGTGCAAGTGTGAGAGTCGAAATTAAAGCTTGTCCGCTTCAGGCGAAGGACGGAGCCCGGGTCATCGCGGTGTCGAGCACTGCGCACCTGGGAGCCAACAAAGAGCTCATGACAGGAGCTTGCACTCAGTCGTGGCCACGGTTCGAAGCAATGCAGTGGGATGTAAGTCTCACCTAATGAAAGATGGATGTGTCAGCTCACGGCGACTACCTAGAATTGTGCATTTGTCTGTGAACCAGCCCATGCGCGTGGCAGCCAAACGAAACCGGCTTTGCATCATGAAGGAGACCTCATGGCACCTGAACGATACACTCAGTGGGGCGTGGTCCCAAGCCGGTTCGGGTGTCCGTCCTGATTCTGGATCCGACAGACCACTGCTGCAAGACTGCCAGTACGTGGTCTTGCACTCCACAAAGAGCAGACAGTTGAGGTGCATACTGTCAGTCAAAGCTGGCCAACGTGCTCTTCGCAAAAGAGTTGGACCGAAAGTTCAAGAAGGCCTTCCATGCCCTTCTTTCAAGGCTCATGCACTTCATGCAGTTCAGTACCCTGGCCACAAGAACAGAAGAGGAGAGAGCCGCTTCCAACTGATCAAGAAAGTGCTTGGCCGCTAATGCCTTGCTAGGCGGGCATCAATGCCACTGCTGTTTCCTGCCATCCCGGCGGCGTGGTGGCTTGGCGAGCAAAGAGCTTTGCGGATATGCTTGTAAGGTTTCGAGGGTATCGGGCATGGAGAGCACCAGACACTACCAGGTCTCGCTGCGTAGCAGATTAGCACAGGTACCATTTCAATTGTCAATCCACCAGACAAGCCGCAGACCCAAGCGGCTCCCTGCACATGGTTTCAGGACACGGACCTTCAGAGATGGACGGTGACTGCAGATGGTGACCCGCAGAAGGCCACACAACTCCGCAAGGACAGTGTCAGCAGCTCCTCGGTACTCGTGTGTCTCAAGCTGTACAGTGCACAATGACATTTGGCAGAAGCTTCTGTATTCTCCGAGGACCTCAAGGATACTATGCGAGGCAGTTTTCAACTCCTCATGTTGATTCCACCTTTGCTAGGTATTCGATTCTGAATCTGTGCAGTGCCGGCTCTTCGTAGCTTCAGCCAATCCTTATCTCTTCAAACTTCTTCAGGACACTCCTGCCGCTGATGCATTTATCAGCTTCGTGACTCGATCCGTCCAGCTGGGTGCGAACACGCAGGCAATTATGTTTGAGGATTGCAGGACACACCGGGCTACATCCTTGAGAGACTATTGAAAAACACGAGTCACGGCTTGGGAGCTTGCCGTCCCACGTGTGCCCAGTTGCATCTCCTGCGGTTGCCCGAGCATGGAGCCTATTGCCCACCACTGTCAAGACGGCCATCGTACCCTTCAACGTGGTCTGCACTATTTGTGGAGCTCTTGTAGCGGCAGCCGTCACCCTCCTGCTACGCAGTATATATAAAGCAAATGTTAAATGCATGGAAGGGAACTATAACGGCCACTGTTGCAGATCTTCTTGGCTGCTGGCGCAGACGGCGGGTACAGCAAATCGGGCGGTGAGTACTTCGACAACATGGCACCAGGAAGGGATAGTTTTTTGGCTTCGGACCTAAGAATAAGAATCCTAAGAGTCAGGTGCGTGTGCTCCATGCTCTCTTGTCGTTAGAGTGCGTAATGAGGAGGTGGGTGTAAAGACCAGAGAAGATCCAGCACCGGCCACAAGTGTGGACTTCTTGCCACAGAGCCAGTACATTCTCAAGCCCAGGCGGAGTGCGAACACGAGCGACCACGTGCTACTCATTCCTTTTGAGCACGTCTTGCTGGCATGACCTCTCCTTGAACGATACAGCCTGCACCAGCGACAGCCATCAGTAGAAATTTGCTTTCATATGTAAGCCATGGCAGACGACCCGTCGCCGGACTTGCAGAGAGAGACTCCGGGTCCGGAGCAAGAAGCTCCAAGCTCCCAAGCTCCACCAGCGCCCGGCAAGAGGACTGCCACTTGCGGTTGGTCGAGGGTCGATATTAAGGATAGAGCTCCGTAAGAGTATTGGCGAATGTGTGTACATTTTCCGGTTGATGGTGTGGTGACCACTATTCCTCGAAAATCTATATCAATGTGTCCAGCCCCCCTGAGTGTCCAAGCCATGCCGCAGGGTTCCGGCTCCGCCACCGAGCCTCCGGACTCAGAAGGCCAGGGCTCAGCGGCCGAGAATAGCCGAAGCCAAGACTTTCCTTTCCTCGGCCAGTGAGGCAAAAAAAGCGAAGGATGAGCATCGACCTGCCTGGGACGAGAGGTGCCCCAAGCTGGGGTAAACTTCTTGTCCTTAGGGAGCTGGCCCAACTAGTCGGGCTTGTCCAACAGTAAGAGGTAGCTGTTGTCTCTCGGAAGTCAGTACATCGGGCGGGAGCTACGTCACGTCCAAGCTTGGTTGGCAGCTTCCACTTGACAAGGCATCACCTCAACTTCAACGACGACAATGCCGTGTTTTGGTCGGCACTGGTCTCCAGTCATCCCTTGCCGTGGCAACAGTAGGGTTGTGATTCGGCCTGTACTGCTGCAGTATCTGACAGGGCTCCGCCACAGCGACTGTCCATCTATCGTTTAGTTGCGTTGCCTTCTTGCACACGTACACAAAGCCCCACCTTAACATTCCACACGTCGTGGCATCAATCACTGTTCCACAGCTGCCAGTAGCCTGTAGCATGCGCTGACAAAGGAGAAGCCGAAAAGGCTGCGGAGCTACTTCAGTCGGCCACAGTCCTTGCCAGAGCTTCGCGCAGAAGTGGAAAAAAGACCACATGCGACACATGGCGCTGCACTGGAGGATTTTGGTTTTTGGGGCGGAGCGAGGGAACTTGCAGACAAATTGGCTTGACTGTACGGTACAGGCAAGATGGCTTGGCGAGAGACATTGAATAGTGAAGGCGCACGCAGCAATCTCTCCGGTTCCCCTGTGCCACCGTACCAGAAGCTGTGTGGCAGTGCACCGCATTGTCACGCCATCGATCTCGCAAAGATAGATGGTGGCATGTCTTCCGGAAGCGTCGATCTGCGAGAATGACATGGTAGGATCCGGGTGCTTTGACACGTTCAGATTTACGAAGTCTGCGATGCCTGTGGGGAGCTAAGGAAGTCAATCCTCAAAAAGCTGGAGGCAGAGGAGGTGCCTGCACAGGCTGGCACTCCATGCGTGTGTCATATAATATATTATAATATAATATTATATTATATTATGTCATGTTATATTATGTTATATTATACTATATTATATTATATTATATTATATTATATTAGATTATATTATATTATATTAGATTATATTAGATTATATCATATCATATTATATTATATTATATTAGAAGTAATATATTATATCAAAACATAGCTATGTATATATATATACGCATACATACATACATACATACATACATACCTACATATACACACGGCGGCCCCCCCCATCCCGCAGTGGATCTCTCCATTTCAATTTGGTCATCCCCCTGACATACATGTATACGCATGCATGCATGTACATAACAGTTACAGTTATATAACCGTGTATGGGCTTTCACCAAAAGGGGCGGTTAAAGAGTTCAAATAGAGGTGGCCATCGATGTTTAGAGACCTCTTTTTTCTCTTCGCTATGAGGCGGGGCCCCATGTTGGGCACGTTAAACCCCACCTTGGCGCTAGATCCGCGATAGTCTGGCGCTAGCAAAGTACAGATCAAGACGCAAGGCCTGGCTGATCGAATGCAGCAACAATGTCCCAGCTTACTGTTTAACCCTACATCTGTAGCTTTCGAGTTTTCGTTCGAGTTTCTATAGGTATGCGGGATTGGGCCAGACTCTCAACGCTAGGTTCGGGACAACTCACAAGGCTGCAGATGTTGCACGCACGCTTCCGCTGTTGGGCGGCCATGAGAACCTAAACTTTAAATCAGGGCCTTTCGAGTTTCGCGGTCGTGTTTCTCTTTCGCCCGAAATTTGGGGACAAGTCTTGGCATTTTGCGCTAGCTCCGCGCTAGCACGTTGTTGGCAACTTTCGCTTTGGCCGTGAGAGACCCATTCGCGTTGTATAGGCAGACAGTGGGTGCGTTAGGGTTCTAGTTAGCTTGCTTAACGGTGGTGCACGGGCCATGGAACTCGGGAGCAAGGACCGGAGCCCAGAGCAGCGACACGGAGTGAAAGACTGTTTCGACAGGGATATGCTTCTTTCTGAACCCCGAAGCCCAACCCTGAATACTAAAACCTCGACAGTTTCCTTCGTTTTCTCTGCAGAAATGTAATGGAATGAGTCCGTGCTAGTGGTTTTTCCTGAGGCATCACCACATTCCATACTTATTTGGCTATCAAGTTCCGTATATCCGTTTTCTCTTGCGCATGAGGCGCGGCCCCAATGTACACCGAGAAACGGCCACCTTCAAGCACAGACATTCAGATGAAACCCCATATATATATATGCATGTGTGTGACGGTCATCAAGTAACTTACCGATGATTTTTCTTTGAGTTCACACGTCAGCTATCGTCTCAATCTCAACCCACTCGTATGTTCGCTGCTGGCTAGCCTTGGCACTTGGACGTTGGTCACACAGAAGCTTTTGCAAAAAGGGATGGCCTTGGCGTTGTGCTAGTCGTTTCCGGGATTGCTTCCCAAGCTGCTTTTCAAAAACAGCTTGTCATGGGTGCTGGATGGGATGTGCGGGACAGAAGGGGCAGAAAGTCCGGATCACGAACCACACTGTCCTGCAAGCTCAATGCATGGCATGCCCAAACATCTTCAGTAAGTTGCCTGGCCAGGTTCCAACCTTTGTATCTGCAGATGCGGGGCCAGCCGTTTGTCCGACTCGTCATGTAGCAGGCTGAATGCGAGCGCGCAGAGTACAGTGCCGACAAGACTTGGTGTCTCGATGTAGTTGTAGTATAATTAGCCGGAGCCGGGTGCTATGCACAGGAGGTGACATGCTTGACCGCGATGGGACACGATGCCCCTGGAATAACCGATGGCAAGCCGGAGTCCACATCTTGAACGAGCAGATGCCACTCAGACTCGAGCGCGTCATTGTTCTGGCATCGCCTTGAGCCAGTCGTAGGCTTCGGTCACCTGCAAGCGGCGTTTTGCATCTTTCTGAAAAACCTGGCCAGTAGCATTTGCTGTGGTTGAGGTTGGCCAGCAAGCGAGCATGTCCAAATCTTAGGCATCCATTGCACCGGTCCTCCTTCGCCACGAAGAGCTTGTTCGAAACCGCACCTTCTCAGAGGTGGCGACGACACCTTGATGTGCAGAACGAGCCCTTTGCCGGATTTTTACTCCTGAGCCTGTGACCCATTGTAACTCCTGCGTTGGGTCCTCGATGCGCTTGAGTGCCCCTTAAACTGGAGAGAACTGTGAAGAGCTGGTCAGTCGAGATGCTTTGCTTTGTGTCAGCTCTTTGGTCATCCAGGGCAAGCATGTTTCGTGTAGAGTTCGTGTATGCCTCGTTGGAAAGCGGCAGCTGGTTCCATTTTACAACGGAGCAATACCTTTGCACTATCTGAGGTGCGGATCTTGGCGTTCCATGGTCACTTCAAAGGGTGCAAGGTTTCCGCCACTGGGGGTCTGAGACGCATGCGACCTTTCAGTCAGCCCACGGCTCTCACAGCGAAGCTGGTGAGCTGGGGCAGTGTAGGAGAATGGCAAAGCCGTTTCCATGTCAGGCAGCAGGCGAAGTGGGTCATGCAAGGGGTTTCCGTGCCATGTATTGGGGGTTGTGCGCCTCGCCTCTGCTCGCATTACGCTTGTCCAGCACTGACTGCGAACAGGACTGAATTGACATGAACAGCTCAAAAACGACCGAAGCTGCATCTGCAGCATGTTGCACCTCATACATGTCTGCGCTGACGGGAGCCAGAAGTCGCGACGCGACACGACACAACGCGACATATAGCCAATAAGCTTACTCGTGCTTAGCCTTGCTGGTTGACCCGCCATGCTGTAGCGTTCGGTAGATCCTTATTATGATGGTCCAGCCTGATAGAATTGGATAGAATTGTGGCCCGTTTCTAATCTTAAAAAATCCAGCAACACGCGGGTGTTTCCTAAGTTACTTTTACCTCTCGCTTCCATCCCCAGACTTGTGCAGGATTGCTGAATCCTGCGGCCACGGATGAGGCATTGGCCGAGGAGCTTCGGATGTTTCATGCTTTGTCCGGTGAACCGTGTCTGCGGTGAACCGTGTCTGCACGGCCGAGGCAGCATGAACGCACGGTCGTGTTCGGCAGGAGTTGTGGGCCAAGTCCGAAAAGCTGACTGGTGTGAAGTACAGCCTGTAAGTGCAGGGTATCGTACAGCTGCTGATTCGGAGCAGTTGTAGCGGCAACTTCAACCCCTCGGATGCATAGTTTCAGGTTTTGCATTTATGTGGCCAATGCGATGTATTGAAGATTCAGGTCGCTACATCTGCGAAAGTATCAAACACGAAACTATGCGAGCAAATTTTACGTTTGTCGTTGATTGAATGCAACGCAGCAGGTGAACAAGCGCCAGAAACCCATAAAACGGCTTAACTTAAGATCAGATACACACACGCACAAAGGGCTGAGTCTGAAGCGCAAGCTTTGCAAACACCATGTTGACATAGGGGCCTCCCTTGATAACTAAATTAAGCCTACAAGTTTTTCAGCGCGGCCTAGTCAGTCCGCAGTTTTCACGCCCCATTTTCATTCTGAGGGCGAAACACGTAGCAAGCCTGGCGCAGCTGCTTGTTATGGGCAGTTTCGTGATCGGCATTTGCATTCTCTTAACCTGCAAGTAGCCTGTGATTGCCTTCGTGTTCTCACGACGTGCCGTTTAGCCCAGACTTGCAACAGGACCGAAAAGACCACCAGTTTTCGCTGCTCGAGATAGCATTTGCCACTGCTGCCACCTTTGGCAGCGAACGGGAAGATTCTGTTCGTGCTGTCGGCAAGTATGCCGAGAATCGTGCCAGTGCTCCTGACCGCGAGCACGTCGTTTCTCGAGCAGCTTGATGCGCAGGCAATGCGACGCCCCTTGGACATGAGCACCCATTGAGTATCAACTCCATGCTGCTAGTAATTGGTTTGACGGTTGAAACATGCGGCGATGTTGGTTGTGATTTCAACTGGATCGGAAGTACAAGAAGATGTAGTTAACTAGTTGCAGACTTCCAGCTCTTGGCCATGCGGCTCCGGACTTTGGCATGACTAGGCCGTTCACCCGGCCATTGCTCACGGATCCAATGGACGGCTCAGTCTGGAATGGGTTGGGTTGGATTTGTGGATACTGCCCACTGCTCTTACACCTCTGCCCACATACATGTTGAGGCCGTTTGTCCCTCACAGCTCGCAGAATTTTCAGTGCACTCTGTGCGGTGCCATGGCTATCTCTCCCTTCAACCATGCCGCCCCTCGATGCAGGATGGAGTTTGGCAGGATGGTACGGGTTGTGCTCGGGAGTTTATATGGCCGTTTCATGTTTGCCACGTCCCATCACGCAGGCCTGTTCCGTGGACAGGCTTGGAAACGAGTCCACTGAGTGTGAGGTTTGGTGACGCCCGATTTTGTGCCTGGATCGGCAAGTGCGCAGCTGAGGTTCTTGCCCTGACTTGTACCTTCATGGTGATGAGCGACTGGCCAGCAAGCTGTGGAGTGGCCTAGAAAGTTTTCTCGAGAGTGGCGCGAAGTAGAAAAGGTGCACGTGCAAACGTGGCCGACCAGTAAATCACAGAGACGCGTTGTCAAGTTTTGCACTGGGCTACCCGTCGCATCCATCTGCAGCGACTGTGACAGCCCTGAAGCAGGCACGTTGAGCTTGAGCTTGATGGGCCTGGCACGGCGCTTAATCTGATTGCTCCATGTGCTTCTTCACGCGGGAGAGTGCAGGTATTTTGGTCAAACGGCTGGCATGCGAATGCTTTCAGAAGTGTTGGTAAGACTCGGCGAATGGAAGCAGGAAGTAACACGGCTGACCTTGAAGAGGGTGGATCCAACAAATATTTAGCTTCCCATGATTCCCATGACTGCCAGGCAAGGAAAGATGCAACTGCGGCCTTCAACCGCATCGCTGTGATGGTACAAGCCTTATGCCTTTGCCGCGGTGGAGACACGAGCCCCCTTTGCTTGCTTAGCTACCTGCTGCCCCTGCCCAGAGATTGTCTCATTTGTTGATCAGGACCCAGTCTCAGGCTTTCGGAATGAGGGAGACAGGCCACAAAACATGCTTTACTCAGGTTACTTCATGTGCCTCCATCGCCTACTTCCTGATGAGCATGGGGATGGGCGTCCTGGAGGTCGGGTGATGATTCCACGTGTGTCGCTTCGTATTTGTAATGAGTACAGTCTCCAGCCTAAACGGCTACACTGTCGAAAGTCGAAAACAAACAATCACATAAGTGAACCGGCATCGACGCATGGGAACCTGTAGTAGCGAGTGTTCGGCATGGAGCATTCGCACACAGACACAGTTGTGATGGCTGCAGAAGCAGCAGTTGCAAATTACGTCAATGAGGCTAAGGTCCGCATGTGTAAGTCTTTTTGTGCGCTTGCCGCGTCTTGTCGCAACTGATGACTGACAGCAGATCCTCCGGAAGCGGAGATAACCCTGCCAGGATGAGAATGGAATGCGAGTGTACTGGGTTCGTGGCTTGCGCAGCAAAATGGAAGAGACGCAATGCGTAACCTACTCTTCGTGAGCTGCATGGCATACCATCCGATGTCCGAAGTGCAACAGGCCAGCAATACGCAACTTGTAGGATCGCGGAGCCTGCGCCGGAGCCACAGAACTGAGGATATGTGGATTGGTGCTTCACAACGCCGTTGATGCTCCTTGAGCTGGGCGTCATTGCTGGAAGCTGCCTTATTTGTGTGCATGACACGAGATTCACGAGATGAAGTGCAGTAAGTGCATTCTAATTCATTGACGGTCCTCTTTCGCGGAGCCCAGGAGCGGACAGCTGGCAAACACTTCTGCTTATTGCTTCCTGACCAGATTAGTCGCCGTCCCCACTTTTGCGGAACGGGCAAGGATGTTCAGAAAGCAGCGGCAGCATCTCCTGGTGAAAGTGCATGGCAGTGCATGGCTTCATTGGTACTGTAGCTATTCTGCTTGATTTCGTTTCATTCTGCTCACACTGATCATGCGCTGCATTATTAGTAGTGGTTGCAGGGATTTCGTTGCAAGGGAAGCAGCGACAATAGCAGTAGCTCGCAGTCGTAGAAGTACTTGTTTGCAGCGGCAATAGCAGTATTGGTAGCGGTAGTGGTAGTGGTGGTGGTAGTAGTAGTAGCAGCAGCAGCATCAGCAGAAGGAGTAGTAGTAGTTGTTGTTGCTGTGGTGGTGGTGGTGGTGGTGGTGGGCAGCTGTTGCTGTTGTTGCCGTAGTCGTATTGAAACTGTCGCTTTTACGGTGTTGTTGCTGATGTGATGGTTCTTATGCTTATGCTTGTAGTACGTACCAGTTGTAGCTTTAGCAGCAATAGCAGTACTAGTCGTCGGTCGTCTTTATGGTAGTCGTTGTGGTTGTGGTCGTGTTTGTCGCCGCGGCAGTGGCAGTGGGAGTGGTAGTGG